AGACCTGGCAGCTTGAAACTCATACTAGGTATGTGTATGTGTAGGCCCAAATTCCCACAAGGAAAATAGAAGAGAAGGGATTGTGGTGTGGTTATCACCCACCATGGGGTAATTTCTCACTTTATATCCTTGTCTCTCTCTGTCTCTCAAGCAAGCACACATATACCATAACAAAAAACAAATGAAAAAATGTCACTAAAAAAAAAAATTAGGAAAAAAAGTGATACATGTGAGTATAAATTTGGAAAATTCAAGCAAGTATTAAGAATAAAATTAATCGCTTATATCCTCACTTCAAGCAAAAAAAACCCAATGTGCAAATGAACGTATTTTTTCCGTCTTTTCCTTTGCATATTTGGCAGGCTCCTCTTGATATTTATTTTCATGTATAATTTTTCATTCTGCTTTATTTCATTATTATATTGAGAACATTTCCCATGTGAGCCAATGGTCTTCAGTATGAGGCAGTTTACTGCCCACCTAATACTTCATCTTGAGAATTTATAATTTAAACATAATGTGATTTGTGGACAACTCAATGTTTATAATGGTTTCTAATTTTAAATAATTGCACAGCTGCCATCATTATCCTGGATCTTAAAATCTTTGTTCTTGTCACTGATGATTGTGCTGAGCATCATATTTGGACAAACAGACATATTACAGAGAAAAGTGCTCGGGGTTTATTATATTATAAATCTCATGTTTTGTTTTTGCTCAACTTTTGCAAAATTGTTTAGAGCAGTCATTATTATTAAATAAGTACATATCTAAGAGGACTAATTTAAACATTTCATAGAACTTTGTTATTCAGAAAGGCTAATTAAGTTAACAAAGAGTTGTTTTGTAAGCATCTCTCTTGAGACCTTGCACATAGGTGGTTGTTAGTAAATGCTTTTTAAGGGTGAATAAATAGAATGGGTGGAACAGAATAAATGGGATGCTATAGAATCATATAATAAATTTGTTGACAATTATGCCTATATGAACACATTAGTTTAATTTCAAATTTTATTTTAGAGTACTGAGGATCCTCCTGACAGTTTCCCATCTATGAATAAGTTCTCAAAACAAAGAAAGGTATTTTGCCATAGGGTGCATGTACTCACTGGAGAGAGAGAGAGAGAGAAAGTGAGAAATCACTCCCAAAGAGGGCTGTCCATGCCATAATCCCTTCTCCTCCATGTTCCTCTTGGGACTCTGGGCACACACACACACACACACACACACACATGCACTCACCTGAGTTTCACGTCGTCAGGCCTGTGATTTGAAATGTGCTCAATCATGTGGGAGTCCAGTGTTTTAACCACTATGCCTCCTCCTGGCCCCAGAACAAACTATGTTTTGAAGTCTGCTTTAGTCACTGTCACTCCAAAACTTAGTAGCTTAAAACATCAATCTATTATTTTCTCTCATGGTTTTGCAGCTCAAATGTAACAGCCAGACAGTTTTCACTTGAAATTTCTCAGGCTTGGATTCACCTGAAGGTTTCTTCACTCCCGTACCTGGTGCCCGAGATGAGATGCTTGCAATAGCTGGAGGCACGTAGGAGTTCTCTTCCTAGACCTCCAAAGGGCTAGCTGGGACTTCCTTTACAGAATGGTAGTCTCCATATGTACTTACTACCATCAGCTGGATTTTCCCATAACAACGATTTCAGGAGACCTGGAGTAAAGCTGCAAAAATTAAGACCTGCCTCAAAAGTCATACAGTGTCACTTCTCCCACAGTCTTTTGGATCAATCCGTCACAGGTCAGAACTGAGTCAAGAAAGTGAAAGAATTAGGCTCTACCTTTCAATGAAGGATTAGCTTGTAGGAACAGGAGGAAAGAAAGTCTGTAACATAGGCTTTTTCTCTTTCTTTACTTCAACCAAAACTACTCCCTAGGTGAATTAATTTATTACTTACTAATTAAATAATCTCTTTGAGATTTCATTACTTCTACAAAAAAGGGATAATAATGCCCACCTCACAGTGACATAGAAATAAATCATCAGTTTTTGAAAAATGTTTAGTACAGTTCCTTAGTACTATCATTAATATTTTATTATAATTATAGGTGACCTTGCACATGTATGTTACCACAACATAGAAACTTGTTAGACATGTTGTTCAGCATTTGTTTTCCACATCACATCCCTTCCCACTATTTTAATGGCTTCAATATTAATACTGGTCACATAGTTAATACATTCTTTCATAAATCTTAAACCTTATCAATACGAATAATTATTTTTTCTACTTCACTTCAGATAAACACAAAACAACCTTTAACTCGAAACTGCTCCACCTCTAAAATCACAAATTCTACCATTTCTCCTCACAATACTGATTCATTTTTATGTCTTCCTCCCATGATAACCCAGTCTCCTTGACTCTTTTTTTCTAGTCCCTAGGCACCATTCTGGCTTCACCTGACATTATCCTCCACTTTGATCCATACCATTGGCTTTTTTTTTTTTTTTTTGAGAGGTTTTTTGCTATAGGGTGCGTGCGCTCGCCAGACAGACAGAAAGACAGAGAGACAGAAAGCAAGAAATCACCCCCCAGGGGGGATGGCCACACCACAATCCCTTCTCCTCCATTCTCCTCTCGGGATCTTGGTCACGCATGCACCCGGTATGAGTTTTAAGCCACCGGGTCCAAGACACGAACCATGGTCGACTACATGGGAGTCCAGCGACATAGACATTACACTAACTGCTGGTCCCACCATTGACTTTTTTTAAGTTCATTTTATTTTTTCTGTGACAGAAATAAAAAGACACAGAGAGAGAGGAACCCCAACAGGGTCTTCATGGCACCATGCACCTCTTATCTCAGCCAGTCTGAATTATGGACATATGCTTGCACACCTGGGGTGCTCATGGAGGGTCCAGGACACAATCCTAGGCTTATTACACGTAGATCCACTTGTGGTACCAATGCACTACCAAGTGGCTCTATCGGTGGCATCTTTAATGGCAAAGAATAACAAAATTTCAATCTCCTAAACCTGAATGGATGCATTAACTCCTTTTCCTGGTCCTACTCCTGATTCCCCAATCCTACCCGAGTTGATCAGTTCTACTTCAAAATGACGCTATCAAAAAAAAAAAAAAAAAGTTGGGAACCAGCAGTTAGCGTAATGGCTATGTCGCTGGACTCCCACGTAGTTGACCGTGGTTCGTGTCCCGGACCCGGTGGCTTAAAACTCACGCCGGGCGCGTGTGCGTGCGTGCCCAAGATCCCGAGAGGAGAATGGAGGAGAAGGGATTGCGGCGTGACCATCCCCCCCGGGGGGTGATTTCTCGCTTTCTGTCTCTATGTCTCTCTCTGTCTGTCTGGCGAGCGCACGCGCCCTACAGTGAAAATCTCTCCAAAAAAAAAAAAAAAATGACGCTATCAAAAAAAAAAAAAAGTTGATTCCAACACCATTCTAAAAAAATAAATTAAAAAAAAAAAAACTTTGTTTTCGCTTTTCTTTGCATCCATCCACTTTCATCACGTGGCTGTTCCAAACCTTTCCTGTTATTCTCCAAGATGCCTATCTCATTTTCATTCTCACCCGATCACTCCAACTTTTGTATATAGTCTTACAGTTAAAAGATAAGTACCTTCCAAAAGGAATTCCCTCAACTTCTTCCCTTGCTATCCCAGAAGCTTTATGCATTTCCTTCATCCATGTTTCTTCCTTCATTTCTCTTAGAAGAAAACCTGCCACTGCTTCCCAAGACTGTCCTCTATACCTCTGCCCAGAGTCCCAACTTTCTATCACCTTTCTAACGGAAAGAGTTCCTTTCTTCTCTGCAGCTGATTCTTCACAGGCTAGGTTTAAAAAAAAAAAAAAAAAAAAAGTTCATTTCTTGTTTCCTAAAAGTGTAATTTTCCCTAGTGAGACTTTTAAACTATTTTTTCATCTCATTGTACTTTCCCTGTTAATATTCCCTACTCAGAGGTCTTTACTAATTGCTCCATCTCTTTGACATCCAATTATCTCTTAGCTGCTTGCAGTCTATTTCAACCCTTACTGTTCAGGCCTTTGAATTACCAAATCCTTACAGAAACTTGCCGCAGAAGACCAGTTCAAAAAATAACATCCTTAAAGGTGGGATTTTTAAATTTAAAATAAAAACAGTCTTACCACTTGAATTGTTTCTAGTATGGAATAAAAGAATGTCAATAAGAAAACTGGCATTACATTATAACCACTAAAATTTAAATAGCTTTGTGGTGTTGGAAAAGCACATTTTAAGAATGTGACACATCTCTATTCAAATCATGATTCTTTCTGAAAGATGAAGTACATAGGTTAGTCATCAGTGTTCTATATAATTTTTTCATTACCAAAAGGGAATTGACCTCTCTGATTCACCACGTCCCCATCAAGAGCAAAAAATTAATAATAATCATTTAATAATAATTTAATCTCAGTCTCCCTTGGCCTCCACAAAGAACTTCAAGTACGCCTCACTTCCGATGTATGTCCTTTCCTTCTCTGTAGTATCACTATTTCCAAACCCTTCATACCTTCCCTGTTAGAGTCTAAGCTTCTTAATAATACACATCGTTTACACTGCAGGTTCACTAAACATGAAAATGAGCCCTATTCACCTATAGCTTTTTAGAATGGATGGGATCATTGTGTTCCTGGTAAAACTGCCTATCTCCTCCTGTTTTCTCTGTAAGCTGTGATGGATTTTAATAGCTAAAATTGATACTGACATTCATATCCTTGTGTTGGCTCCCACTTACTTTTTTTTTTCCTTTCCTATAAAATATAATGCTTTGTGCCTCCAGGCACAAAGTGCTAGGGAAAAAAATCAAATCTATAATTAAGTTTTCCCCAAAATAACTGGAAATCAGCTTGCATCACAAGACTATTGCTATCAATTTTCATTACTGAACATGTAATTCATCAAAGTGATTACATCGTTTGATGAGATTCATATTGGAAATGCAATTTCTCTTGGCTCATCATGACAACTTGTGCTTAATCTGCTGCTTTTACTTATAGGTCCCCCAGGCCCACCTGGAATAGTGATTGTTGAGGAGATCACTGAAAGCACAGCCACTCTCTCCTGGAGTCCTGCAGCAGACAACCACAGCCCGATCTCCTCCTACAACCTGCAGGCTCGCAGCCCATTCTCCCTGGGCTGGCAAACAGTCAAAACAGGTAAGAGGCTCTAGGGTGACGTCAGACACAACAAGACCAGCTTCCTACCTTATGAACTATGGTTGCTCACCATTTCACTAGGAGTGTTTGGATTTTGGAAACTTATTTGTTAATTATTACAATATTGAAAATTGCATTTTGGGGTTTGTTTTTTTAATGATCCTGAGAAAAACCAAACTAGCTTTTCTAGGGCTATAAGCGTGCCCAAATAATTTGTTAAAACAACACTACATTCACATAAACACTGCAAAAATAATACTAAATGTTTCAATACATAACCATAGTACAATTATTAGTTCAGGAAACTGACCCTGGTACAATGCTAGTAACTAAACTTCAGGCCTAATTTATATTTAACCAGTTTTAACATGCAATTTTCTTGCAGTATATCTACATGCAGACCATAATTCAGATTTTTTCTTGATTTTTAGGATATGCATTAACCTAGATCTGTTTGATTATCACCACTACAGATACTGTATGTATTTTTGCAAACTGTGTAATTGTGGATATTAATCTGTTTGTTAGCTCCATTATAATTCTATGATACCTCTACAGATCTGAAAGTCAGGGAACACTAGGTATGGTAGGTAATTCATTCAGGAAGAACACCAATCGAAACCACATGAGCAGACTTATGCAACAATTCTTACAACTTCTACCCCAGCACTCCCATCTAATCCCTAGTGTGGTAGTTCCAACCTGGTTTACAACTATGGACTCACTTAGTCATCTTCCTGCCTGCAGCCATGATCCCTGCCCTCTCTTGCCGCAGCACCCAATACAACATATTGGGTCATCGGAAAAGTCATGACACATTTTTGCATTGAAAAATATGTTATGACTTTTCCATGACCCAATATTTCTTGAAATATTTCCTCATGGATACATTGCAATGTGTATACAAATGGCTCTGTATTTTTCAACTTTACTGTGGTGCAAAAGCTATATGTGTTCAGTAGAAACCATACTTAGAGTACCTATACAACTTTTCTGATTTTCTCTTTCACCACAGTATCCAAAACAAAGAATTACATGAGATAATCAATACTTTGTTAAAAAATAGGTTTTGTGTTAGATGATTCGGCCAGTTGTAGGCTGATGTAATCGTTCTGAGGATGTTTAGGGTAGGCTAATCTAAGCTATGATGTTCAGTAGGTCAGACAAATTAAATGCATTTTCAACTTACTCTGTTTTCAATTTATGATATGTTTACTGGATTGAAGGTCTGTAGTTGTTTCTTTATTCTTTATTCTGCCCATCCCTGCAGTAATCCAGGACATCTGATCTTCCAACTACTACGTCCATGCGTTCCTAGTTAAATGTATTCTCTGACCCTTGCCCTGGGTTTTCTTTCTTGGTTCAACTATTTCTGAATTTTGTTTCTATAAACATGTGTGTGTGTGTGTGTGTGTGTGTGCAAATGTGTGTGTGTGTCTATATGTACAGGGCATACATAAGTGTATATTGAGGACCTGGGCATTCAAAATGAAGTATTTTTTGTTAATTCGTTTTTTTACATCCCTACAATGAAGTTTCATTTTTTTATCTTAATATAGTTTGAGTATTGGAAACATTTTCAAGTTGAAAGTCTTTTATCAGTTCAATTCAGCGAGTATTTATTAAAAACAAAACCAGAAGTTTGTACTCTATTTATAAATAAAGAACATATTTTTTAGATAAAGATTTCTATAGGTGACCCAATTTATTCAACCTTTATAGTACTTGGACTATAGCAAGATGTTAATTTCAGCTACCTCATTTCTCTAAAACTCAACATCAATTGCAGTGATGAGTGTAGACAAACAGACCTCAGGGCCAGCCTACCAGAAGCAGTCCTAAAGCTCTGCATACTCCAAAATCGCTGCTGGAAATATTTCCTGGCATAAATGTTGTGCCCAGCATGAACAGAGGAGAAAAGGTGCCCCTAGAGCCATACTAGGTCCTGGGTTAATAGGCACTTTGTTTTCATAGCTGCTCCCTGAATTTATATCTATTTCTGTCAAAATAAGCTCTAATTTATTTGTACCAATGGGGCCAGTGGAGGTCTACTGTTTAAACTCTGATAAAATTAGTGTAAATTTTTTTTTTAAATCACGTGTACACCCCTGAGAGAGAAAGCACCCTCCAATGAGGGCATGGTCACCACAATCCTCTCTCTTCCATTTCTCTATCCCATAGGGATTTGGGGCATGCATGCACATGCATGTAGTGTGTTTTTCAAGGTGTCAGTCTGGAATTTCAACCAGGTGGTTAACTATGTGGGATCTAGCTGCCCCAACTAACAGGCTAAAGAGCTGGATAAATGGAATTATTTTTTAAATGCCAGAGAGTGCACATGTGCAAATGAAAGAGAGAGAACCCTTCCAAAGAAGCCTGGTCATGCTTTATTCCTTTTTCTTCCAATTCTCCATCCTGTCAAGATTTGGGGCATATAAGCGTGCTCAGTGTGTTTGTCAAGCCACTGGGGCCAGGACTGGGAGTTGGGTTGGCCATGTAGGATCTGGCTTCCGCTGTGCCACACCTAACCTCTGTCCTACAGGGGTGGCCCACTAAATCAAATTATAAACTCATACTTGAAAAGTACTTTAAATTCCTTTATATACCAAAATGAATATAAAGAATAGTAAGTTCTTCCTTTTTGGCAATTGCAGGAATAAGTTGCACATAGATCTTTTAGCTGAACACATCATGGAATTAACTTATGTACACTGCCTTATGCAAATGAGACACAAATGGGAATGATTTATTCATTATGAAAAAAGTATGATAACAACCATAACAAATAGATCGTTTCACTTGTAGACCCTTTTTCTGTTTAAACGAATAGCTTTCAATTTGAAAACCTGACTTTCTTCTTCATACCACTGAGCAGTATTAGCTGGTCTAGCTTTTTTGTTAAGATTTTTTTTTATTATTGTTGTGTTTATATAGGAATATCAATCACATATAATTATGGAGTTGATTGGTCTTTGTTTATTTAACTCGAATATGTTTCTTAAATATTTTTCTATCAGTGGATTTGTCCTCTACCTGTGAATAAGTTCTCCAAAGGTTGATTGGATTTAATTTGTCAACTGGAGAGGTTTATTTAGAATTTTATGAATTAAATTACAAGATGTGATTCTTATACTTGAAAGGCCTCTGATCACTCTCCCTGAGTCAATATGAGATCCTCCACTATCTTGAGTCACTGTCATGTTCTCTCTGAAGCATGTTTCCTTTGAAACCAAGTTTTCCCTGTATTTCCATAAAGAACATCTTTATAAAAAGATGCCCACCGGACTTTGAAAAATACTTCCTTTGGTATAAATCTTCCATCATCCTTAATGTCTACAAAACTGCATTTCAAATAAAAAACTTGAGTTTATTTAAAAAGAAATGTTTGTTGCCCAGCCAACAATGCATGGTAGTAGTGTAATGCTCTGTAATGCTAGAGACCACAGAGAAAGAGTTCAGTTCCCAGGTGATCCATACTCACCAGGTTTAGCTATGCTCCTGTGACCCTAGCTGCCTGAAAGGAAAGGGACAGATTGCAGGAATTCTTGTTGACAGAGCTTGTCTTAGGGTCGGCACATGGTACAGCTATTACATCACTGGACTCCCACATAGATGACTACAGTTCAAGTCCTGGACCCAGTGGCCTGAATCATACTGAGTGCATGTGCATATATGCCCAAGGTCCCAGGAGGAAAATGGAGAAGAAGGGATTGTGATGTGTCCATCCTCTGTGTGTGTGTGGGGTGGGGGGAGGGAGGGAGCATCTTTCTTACTTTCTCTCTCACTGTCTCTGTCTCTCTGTTTCTGGTGACTACATGCACTCTAAGGTAAAAACCTCTTTAAGAAAATAGTGCCAGTCTTTCTGTCTCTTTCTCTCTTTTCTTCAATAAGTATTATAATAGTCTTTTTTATTTTTACTCCCAATTTACTTTATATTACATATTATTTCATTAAAAATATTAATATCTTAACCTCATTCTTTTATAATTTTTATATATCAATCAATTTAGAATTTCCAGGTTGGTTATTTTTTTTTTCCACTGTAAAGAGAAACTAGAATTAAAAATGGTGGAGAAAATGTGGGTTTGAGAAAAGAGTCTTTACAACCTGGAGATATGACTCAGAGGATATAAATATGTAAAGCCTTGGAAGAAAGATATTTTTATATATACTTTAATTTTAACACAAAGCTTATAATAATTACATCAGTATTCAAACAAAAATTAACTTTGCCAGTTTTGATTGCAACAGGCAATTTGGATTCGTTCATTTATTCAATAAAAATGTATTAAGGACCTTCCAGGTTTTGTTCTCGGCACTTGAGACTGATCAATGAATGACAACAACAGCGTAAATGTATGCCCTTGTGAAGATTGTTGCCACGGGTGAAAGAAATAATGAACTAAGAATGAAACAAACAAGTACATACTGTGGTATCTTACAAGTTGATCAGTACTATTGGGAAGAAAAAAAAGAAAAAAAAAACAGGCAATTTTATACAGTGAGAGGAATCTAAAGTACTCTGGCAGTGGCAATTAACTAGCTTGGGCTATTGTAACAAAATAATACCATGAACTGAGTGACTTAGGCAAGAGTCATTTATTTCTTCACAGTTCAAGAGATCAGGAATTCTAAAATCAAGGTGCTTGCCAATTTGGATCCTGGTGCAGACCCTCTTTTGGGCTTGTAGGTGTCTGCTTCCTCACATGGCAGAGAGAAGGATACCTGAGTGCGTTGGCATCTCTTCCTTTTTTTTGGGGGGGGGGAATTTTTGCTATAGGGAGCTTGCACTCACCAGAGAGACAGAGAGAGACAGAGAGACAGAAAGCAAGAAATCACCCCCTAGGACAGATGGCCACATCACAATCCCTTCTCCTCCATTCTCCTCTCAGGGTCGTGGGCACGCATGCACACATGCCCGGTGTAAGTTTAAGCCAGTGGGTCTGGGATTCAAACTGCAGTAGACTACATGGGAGTCCAACAACAAAGCCATTATGCCAATTTCTGTTCCTGCTCTGGTATCTGTTCTAAGAACACAATGATCAGAGCCTCACCCTATGACTTTCTTTTAAAGAAACTATGAAGATCAAAGCCTGGCGCACTCCAATGGTAAGACATTGTAGAGAACAAGAAGCAAACAAAGGAGATAGAGAGGAGGCCATCATTGAGGTCAAAGGAAAATCAAAATACTGTGATGTGCTGGAAAACAAAATAATAAAGTCTGCCAAAAAAGAGAGTGTAGGGGCAAGCAGGTGGCATGGTAGTTTAGGCACTGGATTCCCACATGGCCAACCACAGTTCCAGTCTCAGACCTGGCATCTTGAAAATGACACCAGATGCATGTACATGTGTGCCCAAAATACCAGGGGGATGTTGGAGGAAAAGAGATTGTGGTGTGGCCCTCCCCCTGCCTCCTGGCAGCCTCTTGGGGCTGATTTCTCGCTTTCTGTCTCGCTGTCTCTCTCTGTCTCTCTTTGGCAAGCACATGTACCCTATGGCAAAAAAAAAAACTTTTAAAAAATGCAATTGTCATTCCCTGAATAAGAATAACAAACCCTATTCAATTAGAAATACCTCTGGACAAATGGACTATTGGACATATGAGCCTGGAGTTTAGGGATGATTATGACTGACAATATTAAAGTCATCAGCAAACTATTTAAAACTATGAGACTCCATGAACATCATTATGGAGCAGGAAATGGGTCAGAATTAGCAGACATGGGTTGCATCAAGGGAATAAAAAAGAACCAGCAATGGAGATTGATAATGCATTGTCAGGAAGGAGAGTCTTTCAATAGGAAGATAGTGATCTGCTGTCTCAAAGGATGGGATAGGTCAAGTAAGATGAACAGAGAACTGACCGTAAAGGTTCAGTAAAAGACACCAGTAGTCATCTTAATGGGGCTTAGTACAACACAAAATTAGCATTAAAGGGTTATTTGGAATGGGTTCAAGAGAAAATACCAGGAAAATCAAGAGAAACTACAAATAACAGGATATAGACATCCCTCAGTTATTTTGGTATAAAAGGCACAGAGAAACCAGTTAAAAAGAAGGAAAAGAAAGTTTAGGACAGCTTTGTTTTTCTTTTTCATGAGAAAAGCTCCTGTGTTCTTGTATGCCAACAGGAAAGAAACATTAAAGATATCTGTGGAAGGAAAAGAGAGAGCAGATACTTCTTTTCCACAGTACCTTAAGAGAACTATGCATTGAGAATGGTAAAATTTCCTCAGTTTCTATTAAAATAAAAAGTTGGGAGCATGTTCACTTAGGAGACTGAGGATATAGGGGAATTTGCTGATAGTGGATTATGTATCCCTGAAGTCACAGTGGAAGGACTTTAAGTAGGGAGTATATGAGCTGTATAGAAGAGGAAATGGAAGAATTCCGTGGTTATTAGAATAAAAGGAACGAGGGGCAGCCCAGACACCTGCAACTGCTTGACATGAATGACATAAACAGCGGTAAATGAAGTGAGGCAAATCCAGATGGGCCCGAGGTGAGTGCTGGTGACACCATGTAGGCTAGAGGCTACTGAGGGCTGATGTCTGAGAATCTCTTCTTCCCATCTTTATGGTTGGTGGGCATAACTCAGCAATTCACCAATCTATGGACATAACACTGTCTTTTTCCTTCCTTCCTCTTAAATTGCAAAGACGATGCCCAGTTGCTAGTACAGCAAGAGGGATCAGACCTTTTTTCCAGGTCATCATGTTGCTGCTTAAAAATATCATTTAGAGGATGTGGTAACTGAGGTGTTGGACTCCCACATGGCTGACTGCGGCTCAATCCTGAACCGGACAGCTTGCTTTCTCACTTTTACTTTCTCTCTCTTTCTGGCTTTCTCTTGTCAAGTTAAAAAATAGTAATAACAACAAATTAAATTAATTTGTATATATATGTACATATATATACACACACATATATACACAAATCTCAGTGCTTCAGAGCTGATTTTATATAAAAATACATATATGTACACATGTTTTGTATATGTACATATATAAAATATATATGTGCATCTATGTACATATATATATATATATGTGAGTGTAAAAGCTTGGCAGTGCTATGAAATGTGTAAGGTATCTCCTACTACCCCTGTTCTATCTATCATTCACCTTTCACAGAACTGATAGTTTGGTGACATTCCTTTTTTTTTTTAAGAGTGTTTTTGGTTTTTTTTTTTTTTAAGCTATAGGGGCATGCATTCACCAGAGAAAAAGTGATTTCTCATCACCCCCAAGGAAGGGATGACCATGCTGCAATCCCTTCTCCTCCATTCTCCTCTTGGAATTTTGGCACACACACACATGTACCTGGCATGACTTTTAAGCCACCAGGTCCAGGTCTCGAACTGCAGTCAGTGATGTGGGAGTCCAGTACCTTAACCACTATGCCATCTGCTGGCCCTAGTAACATTCTCCTGATCCAGTTTGGAGAAGATTTTCTTTTTTTCTTTTTTCTTTTTTTTTTTTTTCCTTTTTTTTTTTTTTTGGAGAGATTTTCACTATAGGGCACATGCACTCACCAGACAGACAGAGAGAGACATAGAGACAGAAAGCCAGAAATCACCCCCCAGGGGGGATGGTCACATCGCAATCCCTTCTCCTCCATTCTCCTCTCGGGATCCTGGGCACTCACGCACACGTGCCTAGCGTGAGTTTTAAGCCACCGGGTCCAGGACGTGAGCCGTGGTCGACTACGTGGGAGTCCAGTGATATAGCCATTATGTGGTTCACCCAATCCCGAGAAGATTTTCTTGAGAAATTCAACGTGATTTAATTCTACTCCACCATAGTAAAACTAAACTGAGTCATCCAATCCAGAGCTCCAGCCGCACCCCTGGCTCCCCCACCATGCTTAGACAGAAATCAGGACTGGTAAAACTCTGACGGCTCTATGTACAGATATTCTTCTAGGAATATTTCCTAGACAGCAGAGATGAGTGACCAAGAAAAACAGTCCCAAAGAGAGCATATGTGCTATGTAAAAAGTATTTCACAACATGCTAATCATGTTGAAAATAATTTTGTGCTTTGATAACAATCTAAACATAGTATAAAAGTCATCTCAAGAGTTCAGAGCTTCCACTGATACCCCACAAACTAGCTTTTAGGTTAGAGAGGCATACTCTTACTTTGCTGCTTGGAACTGCTAAGTGATTAAACATGTATGTCAGAATGAGGAGAGGCAAACTGCTTAAGAAATTTCCCTGGAAACTGAAGAAAAATTCTGCTTAAATGACAGCATTACTTAGTCTCTTCTCTGGGGCTGATGAGATTGATAAAATGATTTTTACCATGGATAATGATAACGTGTGTGAAGAAGGGATTAAAGAATTCTGATGATGGGAACAGCAGGAGGCATGGAGTTTAAGGTACTGAATTCCCACATGGCCAACCATGGTTCATGCTCTGGACCTAGAGGTTTCAAGATCATGCCAGGTGTGTGTGCATGTGTGCCCAAAGTCCTAAGAGGAAAATGGAGAAGGGATTATGGCATGGCTATTCCCCCAGGGAGTGATTTCTCACTTTATCTCTTTCTGCTGAGTGCACACACCCTATGGAGAAAAAAAAAAAATTAAAAAAGCACACTCTGATGACTCCAGCAAACATTTTTAATTGCCAGAGGGTGCACGCACTCACAGGGTGGGTTGGTTTAGAAGAGCATCCTCTATGGGATGTGGTCATACTGCAATCCCCCCTCCATTTCCCCAACTGTTTGGGATTTTGAGTGTGCACACACACACACACACACACTCACACACACTTGCCTGGCATAGTTTTCAAGTTGCCCAGGTAAGATTCAAACTATGGTCTTCTATGTGACCAATCTGGTTCCTTGAACCACTAGTTGATGGTGCTAGCCCTCCAACAAACTTTGATATATGCAAATGCTTTACTTCCTGAAGACTTTCATTTACTACTGACCTTAGAGGTGATGCCAGGATCATGTGTCATGAGACAGTATGTTTCAGCCTGCTCGTTCTGTCAATAGGTGTGATGATATCCTTGTTACCATTAAGCAATCTTCTCAGTCCTCCTGATGACATGAAGCCACCTTCCTTTCCTATAGTCCCAGAAGTCATAACAGGAGACATGGAGTCAGCCATGGCGGTGGACCTAAATCCTTGGGTGGAATACGAATTTCGAGTGGTTGCCACCAACCCAATCGGGACTGGAGATCCCAGCACTCCGTCACGCCTGATCCGCACCAATGAAGCAGGTAAAGTTTGGAGAGACAACATTCTCCGTAGTATGCCTCTTAATCATTTTGAAAGCACATTGAATTAACCATGATTTCTTTCTTGCCTGGCTTGGGATAATTTGTTCCGATTCATTTACCTAGACATCAAAAGATCATTTACTTTAAAATAATTCTTTTTGTTTTAGACCTTTCCTCTTTTTTTTTTTTTTTTTTTTTTGTTAAAATAAACTATTCTGGCCTCAAATGGCTGATATACTCCCACATTTGGGTCACTATGGATAAGCCAAAATCATACATGTTATCCTGTTTTCGTTTTGTTGTTGTTGTTTTGTCTTAAGCTGGTTACTAAGTTGCAGCCAATTACGCTAGTCACACTGCTGTCAGTCACAGAAACCACACCTTTTAGGCGTTTGTGCAGCCTCCCATCCACCTGTAACCAAGCATCTCTCTACTTCACTCTCACATTTTTGTATGACACTTTTTTACTGCACACATCACTCTTCCATTCCACCCAAATATAGTCCTTGGAAAACGCACAACTAGCCACATAGTCTCTTGGAAGTTATCTTCCGGGAGGCTGCCCAATTTAAATCACCTGCCCTTTGTTTAAAAAAACTGTTAAATTTTGGTTTGTCTAAAATTTTTGTTTGTTTTTAACACTTTCCACAAATACAGATATGTAATGCTTCCATTTCCTGGCACCCCAGTCACCATAAATTGAAGCCGTTAATTTATTCTTCTAATTATACACTCATTGCATATCCATAAAATTCAGAACAGATCAGCTCACCTTCTTTTTCTTTAGTAATTGCACTTTCCCCTAATTATGGTCTACTTTCTTTGGACTTTTTCATGCTGCCCTTCACCACCTAACCAGTATAAATAACACTTTGCAAACATAGTCCTTCCTTGACCTACTTCCTTGAAGTTTATGGGTAAAATGATTACCCATCTGCTTCTTGAATTAGAAAACATAGCTTTGTTATGCTCTTTTAGAATAATACTTCTGATAAAAATGTTCTTAATGACCACACATGAGAAATTAACAGCTAACTTATTCACTGTTCCATATGCGAACCACAATGTCTGGCACTGATACTTAACATATCATGTTTTAAAGGGGAATATTCTTACTTTTTTCTTTTATATACCCATACCCACACCAGTAATTAAAAATTAAAGATATGGGTACTTGGGAGACTAAGATTTATCTGTGTCTGTTTTGTATTATAGATAGAAAACTGAACCAAAAAAATATGATTTTTTTACTTCTAACCAATTAAAGTTTACAACCATTACAATGAACTATCTGAACAGTCCATTCTGTCTCTAAAGCATACCATTTTATCCTTAAAAAAAAGCGAGAGAAAGAGAAAGAAAGAAAGAAAAGAATTTTGGGACCAACAGATAGCATAATGGTTACATTACTTTGACTCCCACATGGCTGACCTGGGTTTGAGTTCTGGACCCAACAGCTTAAAACTCATGCCAGGTGCATGTGCATGCATACCCAAAATCCTGGGAGGAGAAGGGATTGCAGTGTGGCTATCCCCCTGGGGGGTGATTTCTGTCTCTCTCTGGCAAGTGTACACACCCTATAGCAAAAATCTCTTAAAAAAGAAAGAAAGAAAGAGAGAAAGAAAGAAAGAAAGAAAGAAAGAAAGAAAGAAAGAAAGAAAGAAAGAAAGAAAGAAAGAAAGAAAGAAAATAATTTCAAAGGGTCAATTTATTGCATTAAATACAACAGCCATACAAATGATGTTCATTTTTTTTTCAGTATGATAATTAATTAAGTAGCCCAAATAAAGAAGAGATAAAGTAGCCTAAATATATCAAACAAGGCTCATCCACAGAAAATCCAACTTTTCTACTTTCGTGATTTGCCTATTACAAGTTATTTTTCCTGCTATCTTTTCAATAGTGTGAATTTTAAATTGAACATTAATTGCCTGGTTGGATTTTCACACATCCATAAAATCAGCCACGCTTTCATTGTGTACAGGTGTTCATTAATTAAGAGCATAACAAGTTAGTGGTTCCTCATTTTATATACTCACTGTGCAGATATGGACATGACTGCCAAGAGTAGTACTTACACTCACGTGTTTTCTAAAAAGCACTGCCTTACTTACTTTGCATATTGTTAATTGTGTTTAAACAAAGGCAAAGATTACTGCTTAATTCAGAGGCTCTCTATAAATATTCATCTCAAAAATACATAATCTGTTGGGAATGAATAATCCTTTTCAACTTTTTATACTATAAATCTCCTTGTGCCATTATAAAGCATTTTAACAAAAACGCTTTTACATTTCCAGTTAAACCGTATGTAGATGATGCATTGTAAAAGACTTCCTCAGGTACTTCTGCAGCTACTTCCATCCTATGTTGTCCATCACTACATTTTATCATGAGTTCAATTTACATGACATACTTTAGTCCATTAAAGTCTTATGAAGGAGAAGAGAAAGAGCATGAAAAATACATGAAGTGCTCTCCTTTGAAAGGGAGTCAAGGAAGGCTTGTCTTGCCTACTGTCTGTTTCTTGGGCTTTCTGCTTATGTTTCTGTGCAGTACTTTGTAAAGCTTAAGCTACTAACGGTGTTGAAGGAGTGTTGAGTTTTGCACCTGTTTTGTCAGACAGCACAGATGAAAAGGGACACCAATATCCTAAGACACTCTCTGAAGTGATGCACACTGCCTCAAATTCATATCATGTATTTGAAAATATGATTCTGCTCTAATGGACCAACTAAACTTTGAAAATTGAGAATGCTGCTTGTAAGAAAAAAGTTCTCATTGTTAGGAATATTGAGTTGATGTAATTTACCTGACTATTCTAAATTCCAAAGCAGCCTTAGTAAAGTATTCCTACCTAAGAATTACTCATTTCCCACACACTAAAAAAATGAATTTCTCTTTGTAATTTTTCTCTAGGGAATATTCTGACTTTCCATTCACCAAAACACTCTTGATAACCTCTAAAGATAAGATAAATGGGTTCAGTTCAACTTCTTAGTATGCAGATGTTAAACTAATAGTACTAATACATGTTGTTTACCTTAATGCATATTTTCATTTTTTATTTACAGTACACTTTTCTGCAAGTTTAATTAGAGATTAGATAGACAAAGACAGAAAATAATGTTTTTAGTTTTTAAATGCATTTACTGTCATCAAACAAGTTCATATATTTGGGATGGAGTAATGTAAATACATTCTATTATTTAAAAAGATGACACTCAAGAGAGAACAATCACATTTTAGGAAATAAATTTGAAATATGCACTATGGTAAAAATGGAAAAATATGTAAAATGAATTTAACAACAGCAATTCTCTCATATAATTGAACTTAAATATTCTGTAAGCTACATATCTGTAACACTGTTGAAAGATGAATGCAAAAGGAAGATAGTTAATTATGTAACTTGTCATTCAGAAAGGGTTGGTCCTCTATATTAGATTTCTAACTTGAAAGCATGGTATAAATCTTAGTATTTGCAATTTTGTGGTTTTAAACTTTAATGAATTATATATAAAGGAAAAAAGTTTTTCTTGTCATTGAATTTGAGTTTAGATCTGAGTTAACATTTTACTATACCATTTTCTACCAGGGTGAACATGGTCAAAACAAGGTTTTGATTTTCTCCCTTATAAAATAGAGATAATATCCTAACCTTTGATCATTATATTAAATAAGGTGATGGATATAAATAGTTTAGCATAGTTCCTAATGTGATAAATGCTCATTAGCAACTATTTTTTTATTGTTATCACTATCATTCTTCATTTAAATGAGTTACTGTGTTGTCTAGTGGCAATTTTTAAATATATATATATATATATTCTTTTTATTTAGACTGCAGACACTCGGTATATATTAAGTGGGGACATACAATGCCTCTCCTTCACAGCCTGGCTTGCCTCACTCCGCAGTAAATCTTTCATATTCTTTAGCAACTATTTTTTTATTGTTATCACTATCATTCTTCATTTAAATGAGTTACTGTGTTGTCTAGTGGCAATTTTTAAATATATATATATATATTCTTTTTATTTATTTATTTGTGTTTGACCAGAGAGAGACTGTGAGAGTGAGAGAAAAAGAGAGAGAGAGAGAAAGGAAGTCACCAGGTCCAGGACTCGAAATACTGTTGGCCATGTGGGAGTCCAGCACCCTTAACCAACATGCCACCTGCTGGCCCCTCTAGCAGTAATTTAAACAATGGTAATCATATAAATAGCTCCTTTCATACTGAGGAAAATTTTCAGGTTAAACACATGACTATTGATATAGCAAGACCATCCAGTTTCTAGGTTGGTTTGTAGCTAGTGTCACTAAGATGAACTCATGGTGCAACATCTCCACTGCTGACTGGCCCATAACATCTGGACACTCCGCCTGCTTCAACAGCTTGGGAGTCCAGAGAACCTTCCACAGTGCTACACACAGAGCAGGGCTTAGCTCCCTTCCAATCCCCATGTCTGACCTTCCCATATGCATTTTTTATTCTTAATTAGCTAGTACTGAGTCAGTAGGTGGGTTTTGTACTGTTCCAACATGTAGCCATTTTCTTTGGTTCTTGTAGAATAAATAAGGCAGAAGGAGCAGAAAAAAAGAAATGCCAAACAAACGACCATGCTTAAAACAGTTTTTACACACTCAAATAGTATTTAAGTTCCTTAGAACATGGTATCCTGCCCTGCCATTTTCTTTTTGCTCTGATGTGGAAAATGTCACATATATATTTCTGGCCACATAAGGAAAAATACGTGTTCTACATTTAAAAGATCAATGCCCCCAAGTGATAAATGTATCAAGGAGACAATCAAATAAAAATCTTCCCTGGCTTAAGTACTTTCTACACCATATCAGAGTTAGAATAATTTACTGGACAGATTGCATGCTACCATAGGGTTTAAACACGGGGTGGTTTTATTTTTTTCTTGCTACTGCTCTCTCAAATGCTCCATCTTTTCCTCAGCATCATTATCTAATCCCAGGCACTTTGAGAC